TCCATGAGGCCTTGCCGTCCCCTTTGCACCAAAACTCTTGTGTATTAAAGATCTCTAGGGTTAATGCGCTGGAAAATTGGCTTGCATTTTTATTGGTGGAGGCCAGCTATATGAAAGAAAAACAACTCATGGAGGGTAGGAAAGGACGAGAAGAATATCTGGAGGAGTGATTGTGGAGGGCAGGCCCTCAAGTCTCGTTTCCTGTGACTTGGGCAGAAGAGAAGCCCGAGTGTGACATGCTAGAGATGATATTGTGGTCGGGCTGTGAGTGTTGCTCCGTCCATTTATCATTTACGTCATGAGCAGAAGTCGCAACTGCTGAAGTATTGACCCGGTCATGATGTGTGTAATAGGATATTGTAGATAAGTCTTACAGGAACACCAGTGATGATAGAAACAGTACTGGAAATATTCTCCTTTTATCCTGCTTCACCTTCAGGTATTACTCTGATCACACCCCTTTGTTTTAGTGACGCTGAATCCTTAAACAAAAGAGTGTCAGCTGCCTCGTCTATTCACTCCAGTAAGATGTTTACCTCGGAGGCTCTTATTGACACTCGCAGACTGCTTGTGTCACCTCATTCTTTTTGATGAAGGAGCTTAAGTCAAACCTCAGCACAGCACACATCAGTGGAATCAATGAGCGCAGAGTGACTGACCTACTGGACACATTTATGGGTGTGGGAGGCTAATTAGGAGCCACTTCCCAGGCTTGGAAAGACAAGCCCACAGAACAGCTGCTGGTCAGCACTGGACTCCTCTCTGCAGGTCAAAAAGGTGGCAGCTCGTCACGGACAGTGACACAGCTATAGGTCTAGAGAGGCCAATTTACTTAATGGCTAGCCCTGGGGCTGGGGACTCCCAGTATTTCTTTACTCGGACACTTGTAGATGACAGTGCGAGAGCCAAAACGATCCACTTCATCACAGCCGGTCTCATAGGAGCGGAGCTCTGACCGGAGCCGTTTTACAGGAGGATCTTTTGTCTTTCAAAGTGAATTTAATGAACTGAAGTGTTCAAAGTTGTCATGGTAAGTTATTCAAAAAGTGTTTACTTGGAGATTTAATGCAACATTAACCATTATAATAATTAGGTCTGCTGCAGTAGCTCACAGCAGAAGACAGATCTTTGTCAGTGATGTGGGGATTTTATCCTGTCCAGAGGGCTGTTTGTCACACATGGTCGTTGACATCAACAAACTAAACTGTTGCGGTTACCTTTTTTTTTTTTTCTGTTCACAATCACACCCCTGAGGGTCAAAAAGCTGTAGTCCCAGACGTCTCTTAACACGCAGATGTTACAGTAACACCAGCAGGAAATCATGCCCAAACACCACCTCTGACCTCACATGTCAGCTGATCCACCGTCCTCTCTTTGGAAATAGACTACCAACTTCTATAAATTACCAGATTTTCCCACCATGTCCCTCCATTCACTTTGTCTGGCTCCAGCCATTTTCTACCACAGACCCTGCGGTCAACTAATAGTGATTGCACAGTTGCTGAAAATCTGTCCCCTTGGGTTCACAGAGGTCAAAGGGCTCACACCAGGGTCAGAGTCTGTCTTTATGTCTCTTTCCACCAAAGGCTTTGTGATGAATAGAGAGCCCCAGGAAACAAAAGCTTTCAGCAAAGACAAGCAACTTTGCTCAATACATCAGCACCTCCACACGCTGCTGCCCTCCCTGGTAAAAACACACTTTCTAACTGAGATAATACGAGACTGAGGGGGAGCAAAATACACAAAGACATTTAAGGCAAGCAAAGAGGAGAAGTGAAAACGGGAGGAATTGACCATTTGATATTCAGTCTGCATGAATCCACCGGTAAGTGAAAAACACAAAACCGAGGAGTGCAACAGCACAAGTGTGCACTTAAAGACTATTAAGACTAGATTAGATCGGTGTTGTTTTCAATGTGCGGAACAACAAAATTCAGTTTAGCATCTAAACAGAAGTGCAGATATGCTTTAAGGTGCAGAGTTATGTGCAGACTAACAGATATAGACATAAAAAGAGAATGCACTTGTCTTAAAAAATAACTTTGTTTTACATCCATAAAACTTTGCAGTCACAAATTACTCTCTTTACTCTCCCAGTGAAAGTTAGCATTACCGTGACATTTTCTACAGCTCTATTAGCAGCCTGCGCCGCCAGTTTCTGAAACACCTCAGCTTGTTTTCCCTATCGCTGCATTTGACCCTTGTAAAACTGTATCAGCAAACTAATAACCAGGCTGGCCTCTAATCTACTGCCCTTGTTCCCCTCTCTTGTCTTCTCCTCTCATAATGTGTTGCAGATTCCAGAGGTTGAAACTGGCAGGGAGATTTTAAGTAAATGGCATCTGGTTAAAGGTCAAAATCGGGGGGCCCAGTGGGTGAAAGGTTGAATAACTCCAAGGAAGGTAGTGACCACGTCTTTGGGGAGATTTTTTTTTTTTTACTTGTTTAAGGCAACTACTTTTTCCTTGATCAGTTTTAGCCTTTCAATTTTATGTATTTTAAATAATATTGATCTTTTGAATGTTTCAAACCTTCCTGCAGTAAAATATTTGGTGTTTCTAACTTTAAACAAACATTTTTAAAGATGTCTTCTATCAAGCTGTCTGTGCTTATTCTGTCATTTACACGAGGCTGGTAAGATCAGACATATTATCATGAGTTCCTCCGGTGTGATTTATTGTTTTTACACTGCTTTTAAAAGTAATAGGTGGAGAAAGAGTTGAAGGGATCACAGTCTCGGGTTCAAACTGCAGGTGTGTAAAATGGAACATGCACTTTTCTCCTAAATTAGGCATTCAGAGCACCGAGAGAGCGGCGAGGAAATAAGTGGAATAACCGTTTGATTTTAACCAGATGATTGCTTCAGTTGGACACCAGAGAGTTTTCATTAGGTCTCTAATTTACAAGCCTCCCTCTGCATTCCAGCCCGAGGACCCACTGCCCGGGGTCTTAAAGACCTCCTTTAGCCTTTGACCCCTGCAGAAGTTGTTGCCAAAGCTGTGCACTTTTGAGACACTGCAAATTACATCATGACAGACTTGTACTGCAAGTGTAAAAAAAAATGATAATTAGGCTTTAACTTCATGCAACTCCACCTTTCATGATGAGTTATGATTTAATATTCCTCTATGATAGTCAACAGGTGTCAGTGATGTCTGTTTTATTTAATGAAGTCATTTTGCTGCTGGAGGTTTCCCCAGAACAATTTGTGCACTTTTACCCAGAGATGAGTCAGACACTTGATTTTGCACGTGTTTTGTCAACGTCAACAAAAAAATAAAGACTCATTTTCAGATGAACTTCTTCACCACAATGATAATAAAACGTTTATAGTTGACACACGTTGACTGGCAGATTTGCAGATTGAGTCAACCAAACACAATCGTAGCCGCTCTCTCTGTCATTTACAAGTTTGTAAGATTACATGTTGTGCTTTTAAAACTAAGATAAAGCAGTTTGATGTCCGCTTCCTGATTTAAGTTTGGAAACCATGCAGTGCTGCTCAAGAAAAATGCCAGATCTTGAACCATGTACACACTCGACTTCACTGAAATGATCATCACAGCTGCTGTGTGAATCAAAGATAGATGTCATTGGACTAAAAAAGAAAGGAGACTTTTCTAAAATAACTTCATGAAACCATCAATCAGTAATCAAAGGTATTGACTTTACCAGCCTAGCTTGAGATCATACATAACAGCCTAACTGTACAAAAGTCCTGATACTTGCTGTCACTGATATATTTAGAGAAATCTGCACTATAACACTAGGTTTGCAGCCAGCTCCTTCCAAGGACACGCACTCTCTCACTTCTACTTGAGCACCACCTTGGGTCACCCTAATGGCTCTTGACATACAAAGCTTCAACCACTCCTCAGGATGTTTTCCCCCTGTAAAGTTCTCTTTGATAGATGAACACAGTGTGTATGTGTGTGTTTGTGTGTGTGTGCTGTTGAAACTGTGTTGAAGCAGAGATCAGTTCACAAACACCACATCTTATGTACCATGAAAGGTCTCATTAAACTCTGACTTGTAAATGATTCATGTCTGCAGCTTAAGACATCATTACAATTTGTTTACACTTACCCACTCTTGAATATTGTCACTGCAGTGTGGTGAAACACATTTGGCATAGCAGATTACTAATGTGTGGACTAAAGTCTTTGCTTAATAATGAATTTTCTTGATCCGGATTTAGTCTAGATTTCAGGTCTGTCCAATTCATCATCAGCAAATTGTAAAAGCCGTGGTCTCCATGTCTCTGCTGATGTTGTTTATAAACACTGGGGTGGATGCAGGCTGGCCATGTGCCTCCGCTAATGATGCTAAAGGAAGGGAGGGAACCTGATGGGAGGCCCCATGCTGCTGCTTAACTCTCTCTTAGCTGCTGGGTCATGTGTGATTAAGAGGTTTGTGTTACCTGGAGCCCTGCAGAGGAACTTTCCCCTGGAGGGAAGTTTGTCCCATCCACCTAATCTGAAGAGGCCACGAATGGATGCAGCACCGTTTACCCAGAGTTTTATCGCTGTGTTTCCCAGGGGGGGCTCTCTCATGCTTCATACTCAATTTAATAACCAGGCAGGAGCTTCCTCACCACTGCAGATTAAATGGTGGTCACATGTTTGACTCTATTTTACATTACAGATAAGCGTAAGTACATTTCTGTAGGTTTTAAGTTTAAGGCGATGTAAGGAGGTAGTTCACTGCTAAGCAATTTAATTAGAATTCTAATCATATTGGAGTAACGACAGAGTTTGAGGGATTTTTTTAGGGACCAAATTGATAAAAATGGGGAAAAAACACATTAGGAATCGCTAAGTTAAGGATCTTTTCATGAATGTATCAATAGGTTTTAAAATGAACATCGAAAAGAAGGTTCGTCCTCAGTTTTTTATTGACCAAGGATAATAAATAGTCTTCAAATTGTCCCTGAAATTGTGTCCAACAGTGATTACAACAGACACCATGCTGTGTTTGTGTGCAGTGGAGCAGCAGTGGAGATGAGCGGGGGGGTGGTGATGGTGGAGGAGGAGGGGGGGGGGGGTACACAGAGCTGAGACAGTACAGTGGGTGAGGAGGTGGCATGCAGGACAAAGAGAGAGTATCACAGAGAGAGAAGGAGAAGCATGACCATGCTCCTGTCCTTGTTTGTAAAGTGATGAATGAGAGGAGTGCACAGCGCTGGGGGCACTGTGCTATTTGAGAGTTTTCCTTGAACAATATGTGTATCGAGTGTAGACGTATGTTAGGTCCTTTAAGAGAAGGAGAAAAAAAAAAGCTGGAATCTACTGTACGAACGCAGAAACTGAACTGCAGTTTTGTCTTTAAAGGAAAATACAGAGCTGATAATGATCATAACAGAAATATATAAAATAAACTTAACACAAAAAAATACAACTAATATATGTGATACAAAAAAGTGGACTGAAGATCAGGACGTACAACTCGATCAAATCCTTGACTCAGTATTTCAATCGTAGAAAGATTTCTTTAAGCTTCAGCTGGATGTGAAATGTATCAGATGACTTTTTAATCAGCTGGCACCATGTAGATAAAACCGCCTGATTAAACTATATGAGACACAACTTGATCAAATTCCCTAATGACACATCTTCGAATACTCAACAGGCACCAAAGTTCATGTTTATGACAGCTTTCCCACATGCTTTTATTTTTTCTAACAGCTCTACAGTCTTAACTTTTATTTTTAGGTTTAATGTCAAACGATGAATCGGTTCAGAGTAACAATGTTGAAGGGATAAATTTTAATGATTACGCCGAAGCCCTGAGCCAGACCACCTCTGCCTGTGCCAAAGTGTTTGTGGTTCAAACACAGAGCACCACGGAGACAACTGATAGAGTCAGCATGTTGAGCTGTTGCAGCGTCGAGAGTGGGAGAGAGAGCGAGAGGGAGAACCAGGGGAGCCACAAACACGACCGGGGCCACGAGTTCCGCCAGCTGCACCCTGTCTTTGAGGAGGGGATGGAGAGCTTCTCATTGAGGCTGGCAAACGCTGGCTCATAAACTTTCCCCTGTCTCTCCCTTTGATTTTCCTTGGACATCTGCCTGGCCCTCCCATCAGGAATGTGCAGCAGCTGTTTGCTGCAAGTGTCTTCGCCGTGTGAACTCGGGCTTGTGCACGGGTCCTGGCTTAATGAATTGAGCCAATTCAAACTGGGTCGCCTGGGACACTGGGCCCTGGTGCATAACTCTTCCTCGGGGGGATGACAAGCAAGCTCAGAGAAAGAGGCTGGGAAATGTATATTATAGAGGTTAACCATTTGCCCTCATACTGTAATTGGCTTAGATTGTCTAGCAACCGGATTTGCAGGGGCAGAACCTGCACTGTGCTGCGGTGCAAAAGTTCAGCTGCAGCCGACACCACTGTTTGATCTTATGTGAATGTGAAAGAGAGCCAAAATGAGCGGGGGAATATGTAAATGTAAGGCGAGCATAGACGGAAGACAAAATAAGAAGACATGGAGTTATAGTTTGTTGGATGTTGTGTTTTCCTGCAGCGTGTTGCAGAGTTGGGCAGACGGGTTCCAGCTGTGCTAACACAAGTTGTGTCACTTTGAACGGCTGCACCTGCATATGTCAGAGTATGTGTTACTATAAACTTCAAACAAAATTGATCTTTAATCCACTGAAGCATCAGCTGCGTCTTACGAGCCTCTTATTTTGGATTGATTTCTTTATAATGTCCCTTGTGACTTGCTGTAACTGAAAGAGATCCTTCAGTCTTCTCCTGAAAGCAGATCCACTCTGATCGGTTTATGTGATACATGAAATTTCCTGGCACAAAAAGGAACCCCTTTGCTTCTTCAGAGCGGAATAAAAGGTCCAGACTTTACTCTCAAGGCTTGTTCAGACTGTAGTCTGAGACAGACAAGAGGATTACTGATAGTGTGGACAGTCTCCATTCAAGAAGAGCTGGCAAACACCGCTGAGTTGACCGACGGGGAGAAGAATCTGATGCTGCTTGTTTATTTGAACGAGGAGATTAGGAAGAGCGAGGACACAGAATTCAGGGAATTAAATACCACTGAGAGATTGCCATCCTTGTGGGGCCAGTTAGGCACCGTATATCAGAGCAGTTGTGTCTCATCCTAATCTAAAATAATTTCTTTGAAACTGGTTGAAATTCTTTGCAGCTAGTTTGAAAAAATAGGGCTTGTTTTAATGATATTTCTTGAATACTGATTAGCCGTCTTGTTCATTTGTTTCTAGTCTCGGCGTTGTTTTTCTTCTGCTGTATTCCTTTATGGCTGGCCATGCAGCGCAGTGAGGGGAACTCCATGAGCCATGATGAGTTGTTTAAAATCTAATCAGAAACTAACAAGTCCCTGGTTATTTGTTTCTGCCTCAATACTTGAGAGTTCCCAGATGTTGTGGAAGGTAGGGAGTCGATTGTTTATACAGCAGCGAATCTCACCCAAACACACACATTCTATCAGCCTTCATGGCTATCTATCAAGGGAGGCACAAGTTACAGTTTTTCTGAAGTCAGGCAGGCACAAAAGCCCTTCAGCAGCAAATTACAACTCCCACCCCACCTGCTGAAGCCAGCGTGCTGGCGGCGCAGTGTTCAGACGGTAACCTGCCTCCGATCGATCGGTTGTTGTTGCAGCTGTGCTCTGGTTGATGGTTTATTTAAGCGGCTCCACATGCTTGTTGAGGGGAAGGCAGCTGAATACATAAAACAGGCTCTCAGAACCACTTTGTGGTCCGGCTAAGAGTAAATGGAATAATAAAAACCAAATGGTTTCATCCCACGTTGTAGGCTCATAAATCCAGGAAGTTGCTTCTTACCTTTATGATCCAGCACATGTAGCATGTTAAGGTTTTGTGTGATGAGTGCCGGGCTGACTTTAATACTGTCTGTTCAACTAGATGAGCACCTAATGTAGATCTGGTTAACTGCCTGTGTTTTGTCAGTATCACCGCACCAGAACTGTATTTAACTTGAATCATCATAAAAGATGAAGAAGAGGAAAGTGTCTGTAGGCTCTCCAGTAAAATAAATGCTGGAACGAGTTACAAACTATGTGTCAGGGTTTTTGTATTTCAGAGATCTTTGTTGAAAGAAGTGATAACCAGACATAGTTTTATCCACAGGAAGATCAGCTCATGAGGGGACGGTGCCAGTGAGATCAGCCTTCAGCCCTGAGTGATTTCAGTCATCTGTTTGGTCAGCTAGGCTTCAAGGTCAAGCCTTGACTCCGTTCACAGAGGTCAGTGACATCCCCTCTCCATTCACACTGTTTCCTTCCCTTCAGCCAGAGGGGAGGATGTATCTCTGACTTCCTGCTGCCATACACACAGACAGGAAATTAGTAATTTGCTGTGCTATGCCTGACATTTCAAGTGTTCACAGTTACAGGCTGCAGGTCTGTCAGAGTTTCTTCTTTCCTGCACGCTATCAGCAAAGACATTTCAACAGAAACACAAATGAAAGGCAGAAACTCACTCCTCAGGAAAGTTATAAGAGAGTCTATCCGTCAAACAAAGTCACCACTGATCATTGAAAAATACACCAACACTTTTGAACTGGTCATTTTAGCTGTTATTCTATCTCAGCAGTATGTTAAATAATAACAGAGCTGACTTAAGGCATTCATGCTGCTGTGCTTATCAACCTGTCTTATCAGCTGTTTAAGACATCCTCTTCCTGCTCGTGGTAATGCTGAGCTTTCTTTCTCTATTTCATTTCTGGCTCTTAAATTATCCACATTGATTAACTAGAGGGAGTTGGCTGTAAGTCTTCAACCCATTTATCAAAGATCCCTTGTTCTTTAATTATCATTTTCTTCTCAGAAGTGAATTTGCCTTTTTTTTAAATTCCAAAATCTTAGACATGAGGCTGGTGTTGACTCAAGATGTAGTGTATCGAGGTTTAAAATTGAGGGGGGGGGGGGGGGTAGATTTTAACAGGTGCTTTTTAATTTGAAAATTACATTCTCGCAGATGAAATTTTGTTACCGACTGATTCAGTGTTTGAGCATTTGGCTGGACATCAAACTAACTTACCTGAGCCATCTGTTTTAAATAAAGAGGGAACCGTTTGAAATTATTAAGAATCAGAGATGCAAAAGCGAAGACAATCATTTCAGAGCTTCAGACCAGAAAGAATGTTATAAGTATGTCAAAATGACCGTAGTAAACACAAGATCTGTCAACTCCAGCTGTGGTTCACGTTAAAGATTTATTGCTCTTTTAGTCGACAAACTGACCAGAAAACTTCATTCATCAGAGAAGTTGAAACACTTTCAGCAAAATGGACTTTTTACATTTTTTTACTGTAAAATGATCAGAAAAAAAAGAAAAGCAATATCTGGAAAAAGTTAATGTTATAGCACTTAAAATAATCCACTGTACCTCTTAAAGGAGATGTTTAACACCAACATTGGCAAATCTAATTTTAGGTTTATGGGGCCTTAAATTGAATTAAGCCCTGTAAAGCCAGAGTGGAGGCTTGTTCATGTCATTCTAATGGTTTCCATATATGGTTACAGGAAGTACTTTAATGATCTCAATTAGATAATAATACACAATCATTAGAATTGGTGTACACCTAAAGCATTAATTTGATATAAAGGTGGATTTGAAATGTGGATAAATAGCCCTGGTGCAAAACAAAACCCTCTGTTAGATCACTTACACAGACGATGAATTGTGGTGCAGAAACATGATATCATTGGCCCGTGCACCCCCGTTTGAAGTACTCCCTCTAGAAGAAAAAAACAAAAGCTGCTAAAGTACTGCAGATTCCAAAAACCTGGGGTTTCATAACCTTTAATTGTCAAATGTCGAGCAGCTCCAGTTGACTTTTTTTGGCCCTTGGAAACAACACAGGTGAGCCTCAGAAAAAAAAAAAAAGCCACTCTGATATTGTGGATATTTCTGTAAACTCCCAGGGGTCCGAGCCTGCCCTAGAAATGGCTGAGGACTGAAAAATGTTGCTGTAGCTGTGCTGTTTATGCAGAGCACAGGCTCATTGTTAGGGCGCAGGGAATAGTCAGAAAACAGTTTGGCCCTCTTTTACTCCAAGATATTTTGGCTGAAGTCTCCCTGAGAGTGACCTGAAAAACTGTAACCTAGATTCTAATATCCAATTAAAACAATTTAAGAAAACAAGCCCAGAAATAATAACAGCTGCTGCCATATTAAAATGATGAATCATGCAAAACCACATACTCTTTCATTTGTTTTATGCAACATTAAAACCGAGATAAAACTTGATCATGCACAGAATGGGTATTTTTTTTTCCACTAATGCATGTTTGTGAAGTTTAAAGTGTATCACAGTGGGGTAAATCACAGACCGGTGCTTTTTAAAACTTGAGTTACGACATCAGTAGGAATGATGCATCACATGAAATATATCTCAGCTGAACCTCGAATCCAAATATTTTTTTCGGCTCACGGAGAATTTGTTCCTAAACATAACCAAGAATAATAATCACATTTGATTTGTAACGCTCGCTCTAAATGTCATTTTGAGATGTTGCTGCGCACCATTGACACAAATATGTTGAACTTATAGCAGTATTTATTGTCATGGCACTCCTTTGCAGTTTTAGAAAATTAGTAACAAAAACATGCTTTCTTTTAAACCTGTTAAACTCCCCCACATCTGGCTCAGGGTCCAATAACAGATCTGGCTTTAGGGAAACCTTCTGAAAATCCCGGCTAACCGGTACCTTTTTCCTTGCGATGATCCAGTCATCTGTTCTGCTTTTTAAACCGTTCTGCAGAACACCCTGGAGAGAACTTGGGCCATCAGTTACAGACTCGGTTTCATTTGTTCTCTTACCTGACCCCATAAGCACATTGCTATTTTGACAGGCTCCCTAATTACCTTTGCTATTTATGGTGCTCGAACCATCTGCTACCAATTCCTTCATTATCTTCAACAGGACAAAATGATTAGGGCACCATTGGAGAGACTCATATCTTTGCCAAGGTTGGCCCGTTGTCTCCACAAATTGTTTATTTTAAGCCACAAAACACTCTTAAAAATGATTACAACTTCGAACCAAGATAGTGTTAAACCTGTCAGTTAAAGAAACCCCGTTTGAGCCTCCATGACATCTATGTTTCCAACTATTGAGTGGCTCCAGCTTTGATTTGTTTAGATTAGGTTGCAAAATGAGGCTCACTTGGATCCTTCACAACCTTAAAGTGGTCCACACTGTTGAACCCTCTTTAAGTGGAGACATATTAAACAATCTGATGACTGATAAAGTATTCAGCTTTGTTGGGAAAGTTGTGTGTTTTAATTTATTATCCATACTTTTAAAAAGTGTATTGCATTAACTCAGTTCACCATATGCTTTAAAAACTATGGTTTGTCCTTTTCTATAATTATTTTGTTTTGTTTTGTTTTTTTGGTAATAAAAGTGAAAATTTGCGAGTAAGCCATTTGCACATAATTGACAGGTTTCGATGCCAGTACTTTTTCCTTTGACGAGGCACAGGGTCTGGAACATGCAGGTGGCAGTACCACAGTGTAATACCTCCTCAGACTGCCTCATTTTTGAAATGTTGTGTTGTCAGAATCAGCATCATCTTGTGTATTAGTTTCATTTTTTTTTTGGACTCCAGAGACCACAGATTGCCTCTGTCTCATTCCAACAGCCAACACTGGTTTCCTTTAATCCACCTTTTTAACCACCACCATAGCTGCTGCCTCATACCAGCCAAAAGGACAATTTGTCGTTGTCATGTGAGCCATTTCAATCCTGAATGATGTAGACTGGAATTAAAGGGTTGAGTGGAGTTATCCGTGTAAATTTGCATTAGGGGTAAAAAGCAGTTTTGGTCTCAGTTTGCATCAGGTTTCAGTGTGTTGGTTGATGTTGGTGTGGAGGAACTGTCTGACCTCTTTGTATATGCTGTACAGCGGCAACTGATTTAGCCTGCACCGCCAATAATTCATTTGCATGCCATACTGGGAAACAAATAGTGCAGCCCTCTGACTGCATTCAAATATGATCCGCTCAATTATCTTGACATGTTTAGGACCAAATATAAACAGGCCGCAAATATCAGAAGAGGTCACACTGACACTGCAGTAACTACATTGTTACTCATACGGACATTCAAAAGGACACTCATGAAAACAGTGCAAAGCATGACCAGCCATCAAACACTGAGATGAATCCTCCTGCCTGCTCTTATTAATGTCCGAGTATTGTTTACTTTTCAAAAGTGCTTCAGCATTTTTAATTTATTCCACAGTGAAGAATGGGCCTGCGTTGTTTTTTGAGTCTCACTGGACGTAAACAGCATGTTTGGTCTTTTTCCCACAGAGGCTATTAGCCATAATTTCACTGTCCTCTCTCTAGGCCTTATTGTCACTCTTCACATTTGATTAAATCCCTGTGGCATAAGTGACCGGCGACATTGATTTGCAATCCTCCTTGTTGCATTGACTAGCCCGGCCACAAGAGGCTTTTTGAAGGCTGCTGATCCCTGATATATATTTGTAACACATTTGTTTTAATTAAGTGTTCACACAGCATGGAAATTGGATACTTGACTAAATGACTGGAACCAACTGTAATGTGGCTAATTGCGGTTACTGTTGCAGCCATTGCGCCTCTCAGATCGATATTTAGACTAGCTGGGTATTGAATTCTAAAAAGAAGAAGGAGTGATCAAATAACTTAGTGCACTGTGATCACTGATTTTTTCTTTTTTTCCCCACATAATCCTAAACGGATATTTGGAGCAACCTTTATGTAAAAAGAATTTTGGAAACTATAAAAAGCATAGATTTTTAGGTTTAAGGCATAATTTAAACACTCACCTCATTGAGAGTTAAAAGTTTATCTTTAAAAAAAAATGCATAGTCAGTCTGTCAAACCTTCCCCTCTTGAATGGTTCGTGGTTGAGCCCAAGCATTCACACAGTCCAAAACAGCGTTTTCAAACTACAGAACCGAATGAAATAAAACACTCAAAGGATTAGAACAATTTAGAAAGCAGACCCCCTTCTTTTCCATTGTGCCTCTACCATGCTGCGGCTATTTCTCTATGCCCAGCATGGGCTCCACTTTGTGGCTTTTAATAACCTACCCCTTCAAGCTTCTACCCCCTGAGACACATTTTCCCTACTTTATTTGTGCCGCTCTGTTTCTACCTACCAGCAGCTGCAGCGAGGAGCGAGCAGTGGAGGCAGCAGCAGCAAATTTCTTCCAGTTGCTCAACACGCTAATACTCCCCTTTTCTTTGCAGCTCAAGCATTATATTGCAGTTTCATTGACTGGGAGGTGTTGTGTTGCAGTGGAATCAATAGCTGAGGGGATCCCAGCCCAACGATTAGCTTGTCAGTCAGGCCTCTGTGGTTGAAAGGAGGGGAGGCAGCGTAAATCCCAGAATACCAGGGGCCACCAGCATGGAAAAGCTGGAATGCTGGGAGCCGCCGATCGTGCTGCACCACCTGTTGTAAGAGGCAACATGTGCTGAGTGTATTAACCTTTTTGCTACTGTGGTTTAACCGCTGCCTGCTACCACTGGTCCCTGTATACAGAACTCAGGACTTGTACCATGCCAATAAGAGACAGTGCTGTTCTCAAATTAATTTAACCTGGACTGTTTTCATGCAGTCTTGGGACTTTTGTCAAGGACGAAAAATTCAAATAAGTGCTCTGACTGGTTATTGACCTCTGTTGGCTGCTTCAGCATGTAGAACAGGAAAAAGGTGGTTTTAAATACGGTGCATCAAATAAATGAAGTCTTTTATATTCTTTGGAGAGGTCATTAAGAGTATTTTATGTCGCACTTAAAAAGTCTCCACATCAGTCCAGGTTTGGCACGTTTGTTTGAATAACTCAACACTGAAGTACATGGCCTCTTTTGAAAATTTGGATGTATTTTTCACCTGTGTCTGGGATCAATTTTAAGAATTATCCGCATGTGAAGTTGTGAGCTTTGAATCAATTCTTAAGAGTGAATTTCCACTGATAGGAGGCACTGTTTCTTGTGTTAAAGTACTGAGACACTCCATTTTCCCCTGTACATCATCAAGAACCGACAAGCCCTCAAAATCAAGGTGCAGGAAGGTTTTTGTTTTCATTCATACATACTTTTAAAAAAGTAAAAACCTCCTAAGTGACAGGAAAACTAATCCGAGGTGTGAAGAGTGTTCATCCATGTTGTTTATGTCTGTTGAGTAATTAAGTGTTCCTGTAAACCTCATGCTTTGTGTTGGTTTCATTCTGTGTGTGCATGTGACTTTTAAAAAGCGTCTCCTCCTAAAGGACAAACAAACAATTTATCTATTTAATCATAAACTGTTTGTTTAAGTTGGATTCACATTTGGAGAATATTTAGACAAATAAATCTCTGACCTTTTCAAAAGTATTTGGCCCTGGACTGGAGGTCGGCGCGCAGCTCACCATCGATAGAAAGCTCTGTGATATCAACAGAAGGGAACATACTGCCCGTGATTCTCCTTTAGCCGTTATTACACATAAGTTTCCTCGTGACCTTTTCTTGTAGCTCAGTCTGAGAATGCAAACAATCATCGTATTACCCATTATTTCCTCCTAAACCTAGTTATGATGATGATGAGCAAGTCCAATCAGAGCTGCATCAGTGAAAAGACAACATACATGAGCGAGCGGCTTCTGTCTCTGACTCTAAGAAGTTAATTTTACTCTCGCAGACAGAAAGGCAGACAAGTTTTGTTTTGGTAACTGTGAGGGGAACATTTGAAGAAGAGATATTGCTGCTGCTGGGCCTTTTGAACTGCACTGGCCTCAAATCCTTCAGCATAAAACAAGCAGTTAGTGGATGTTGAATATAGTCTCTGGATTAATGTTTTGTTGAGATTATTTTGGCATGATTTTAACTAGTGTGTATAAAGTGCATGATATGGAATTCGCACTAAAGCAACAGAGGACCATTTTAACTTAAGGAGATCGCAGCTCAGCCGTGAAACGGATTCAAAGCTGCTGAAAGTGTCATTTCTCTCCTGTACTCTGCACGTCGTCAGACTGAGACCACAGTTTGTATCCAGGGAAAACTGAGGACACATTCTTCCTGTAAGCAGTGAAAGATCAATAACAAGCCTCCCACTGGGGGGCGTGCTCTCTTACAGAGACCAGTGATCTCTTGATGCCCCAGTCGTCAGACCAGGCTTAGCAAGAGGCAGCTTAAGTTCGGGGCTTGGAGAGAACTGTCAACCGAGGGTCACACTCGGAGAGAGCGGGAGCATGAAGCTGCAGCAGCAGAGGAGGAGTCAAGGGCAGTCATGGGCTGTTTGTCTTGAAAGAGGATGGGAGGGGGTAAGGGTCACTGCAGAAGGATTGAGACCCCATTAGCAGTGTTACACTTACTTCCACTAGCTTAGCTTCTGACTTAGCGAGCATTTTATGGCACTTAAGTAACTCATTTTACTCCTCGAGTGAATTCAGTCATAAGCAGAGGCTTAAACAAATTTGGATTTGGATGGATAAATAAACTGAGTGAATATTTGTGTGATGTACGGGTACAAAGCTAAAGAGAAATGACCTCCCCCCCCAAAAAAAAAATTCACCTGCACATGCAAGCGAGTTATGTCAAGAGGGAGTGGGTTTTTGACCCTGCAGTGATTTATTGTGCAAAAACAGAAGTGAGACCAGTCCGTGGGACTATTAGTCGTTTTCAGGCAGCAAACTCTTCTTATATTTTCTTATATTTCTGATACATCTTGTTGTTTTGTCAGTAAAGGCTGTTAAGAGTTTATCAGTTAAAGGAAAGAAACTGGAGGTGCTGGTGCTGTTTTTGGGGAGCTCGCAACAATATCTGATCAAGCTTGGTCCTCATTTCAGCGAGTAAACACTGTTTTTGGCTGGTTTGCAGGTGCGCATTGCCAGTGATGCACAAAAGTTTCATGTTCATGTTTTCTGCTCTAATCTATCGCGATTAAGCCGAGTCAAAAATGCTCAGCGAAAGTGAAATTTAAAATCTCAAGTGTCTCATTGCCTCCCTGAAGAACAGACATGCTTTCTTTTGTTTGTGCATTGGAACTTAAAATCGTTATGTTTTTAATTAGTACAAAAGTAAAATAAAAACAGGCTGAGGGGGCTGGTGCAGGACACCATCCTGTTGCCAACAGAGACACATTTGGCTCCAAAATAGTGAATGTTACTGTAATCAGACTCGAAGCATGGGAGAGAAAAGTTCAGGCTGATTCTCTGCTATGATCCTCTCTTCAGTCAGCATTTAGAAATCATTAGACATAATCACTAAAACATCAGTTTTTTCTTAATTAGGGAAGTTTTCTTCATTTTTTTCCCCATTGAACTCAGTATAAAAAGTTTTATTTGCCAAGAAAAATCATATCTAATGTTTGCCACTTCAGTTTGAAAATTCAGAGCAAACAAATAGCGTGACAAGTTTACCTCAGATAGGACACATGTATCCAATCCAACCGAGTCTGAATTTTGTTTGATAGTTAATAATTATGTCTCCGTGTCTGTGTTCTCTGCATGTTTATGCATTTGAGTGAGAAAGAGGGAGGGGGAACGGGACAGAGGCAGATAAAGAGAGGGAGAGTCTTTGTGGAGAATTTGGCAAGCTCAACAAAGTCCCTCAAGAGTCCTTACTAAAGGATCTGGGAGAATGTTCTAGGTTCCAAGGAGAAAGACCCCTCAAGAGTGAAAACACACTAGCGTTAAGTTATTAGCTCCACTTTGAGCTGTGTATGTGAAACAAGCTCTCACAAGAGCTGGTGAGAATCCCTTAACTCACATTACTCCACCCCCTGGCTTTGTCCTGCTTTCAGAATCAGACTAGGAGGGTTATTCTCGCCATGTGGATAGGTCCTCGGGCCCAATTATCTGGCTACAATGCTCAATTAGCCATAATCCCTCTTTTGAGGTGATAGTAAAGAGCTTTTAAGTTTTCACTTATAGAATAATAAACACCTTAAGTGTGAAGGAACAAAAACTACAAATTTTTTAACTTTCAAAGAAGGATTTTTAGAGATATCTTTGCTTCATTTTCCGTAAGTGCTTGAGGAACTTTTTTTTATTATTAGATATGCATGCAAAGAAGTTAAAGCATGAGCCTCATTAAGTAAAGTAAGCTGTCGTTTTGATTTATATATTTATGTATAAATATATATGTTTTTTCTTTTTCTTTTTCTTTTTTTTACACTAATAAATCCCGACCCCTGGATGAGAGATGTCCAGGTAAGTGAGAGCATGAGCAAGGTCACATTCTGTCACCAGGTGCTCAATTAAAGGGAGCATTAACCTTGTTTACAAAATACAAGCGCTGTACGGAGTGGGGCAGTAAATTTATTGTCATTAAACAGTAGGAGGCCGCCTTCTTTTGGCCTCTTGCCTAAGAGCCACATGAGCTGAGCCGGTTAGCGCGCAAACACACACTCTCTGTATTGGAGCCGGCACAAGGGCTACATCTGGGGCACCCCTCGGCCTTGGCCAGCTAATGACAAATGTTTTTGCTTTACTTTGGCTCGTATCGTAACAAACGAGTTCAAGCATTCTTGAAAAGTAGATTTAAAGGCAGGAGGTGCCAGCAGGGGAAAAAGTCTGTCCCGGCTTTATGATGTGGTAACTAAAGGCGCTGAATAAGGTGACTGCAGCGTAAGCCTAGACATAAAAAAAAAAAAAAAAAAGTGAAACTCTGGCACCGAAAATGTCATTGTGCGGCTTCTTATGAGAGTACCACTCACCACGCTGCGCTCTGTTTATTTATGTGCCAAAAAGTACACATGATAAAACCTCCTTGCGAGGTGAAATAAAACAGTCTTCACTCTTACGTTTTACGGCTTGCTCTAGTAGGTATTTGGCAGCGGAGGTAACCTGTGTCGGGCTTTTAGTGTTCCAGAAAGAATTTGGATTGCTCATACATGTGGAAATGGACCAGACTATCACAAAGTTAAAGTGTATTTCCAAGAACCCCAACTTTCCCCTTTGGATGCATGAAGGGCTTTTTGGTAGAATCCAACATTAAGTTCAGTGATATACGACATTATCCAAAGGAGAAGTGTCCCTGATCTCAGACCCTGCCTTTCTGAAACAATCCCTGATCCCATGCCAGATTTGATACCAAGTGTTAGCCATAAGCTCTGTCACAGGTTCCTGCCAATCTAGGTATTACAACTGTCTCTGTTATTCTTAGAGGAGTGGCTCTCTGTTAACCTCAAATCAAGGGCTGTAATTTGTGGTTGATGGCACACTTTGAGATGTGTCTGATCTCTGTGCCTCAGGCGGCGAGGCGCAGGCCTTGATTAGAGACAGTTACATGTGGGAACTACTGCGCTAACCGCAAGTCGGAGCAAATGTCAGCCGCACGCATGTCATGTGTCTGTTGCAGAGATATATTAGGGTGAGACCTGCAGTAGGAATATCTTTGTAGTGTGGACTACAAAGGTAAGAGGGGCGGTATTTTCAAAGCAATCACGAGGTATTTTAACTTTCTCTTTCAAGGTTTCAGATCACAGAATACATTTTCTGACACAAAAGACTTGATCCCTAAAAACAAGGATTCTTTCCCAGAGGAGATTCACAACTTTCCCTATTTACACACCGTGTAGCTCAATGGAGTCACACAGAAATGAACATGGGAAACTTTCTTTTCTTTTGTTTTGCAGAAACTTGCATCACTTTCTTGTTAGATGATGAAACCTCTTTCCTTTAATGCATAGATGGCAATTAAGGGTTTAGTGTTCAATGTCACAGCACGGGTTAAATGGTTATTTTTCAAAATCAGACAATACAGCTATAATACATATGAAAATGATAAATAATTAGGATTGAAATGACCATGCTGGCTGTATTATCTCACCATCAGTAATAACTCTTCTCTCTGACACACAAAAATAAAGATTTGACCAGCCTTATTTTGAGATTATGTCCACTCCTGCATGCCCACCCTCCCCCCTCTCCCCCACTCCTCACTACACAGGAGTAGATGTTGAAAGGCTGAAAAGAAAGAGCGGCACAAGGAGAATAAAACACAGCCACACCTTTCAGCGCCTGTGCTCTTGAGGAATTTGATGAGCGACAAAAGACGAACATTTTGAAGCCCTATTCTGCCTAAGTAGCAGTGCATATAGTGAACAACTATTTACGCAGTAGCTGAGCCGGGGAGTTGCCTATGGATTCATTAGCCTCTTTGGGGCCTCCCAACTCTTCAGTCCCCACCGACTCTCTCCCTCAATGTCTCTCTCCCTCCCTCTCTTTCTAACGCCCTCAAACGCCTCACTCTCGCTCTTTCTTTCTTTCTTTCTTTGCTGTCTATAAGAGGTTTTTAAGCCTAGCCAGTGTTTGTAATTAGCTCCCAATGCTGGAATGGAACATGTTGAGGTGGGTGTTAATGGGCTGGCCAGGCCCTTACTCGCACAGCAGGCTGAGAGCAGAAACAGAAACCAGTCTTTGTTCCTTGGATAGGGAGAAGACAAAAAGTGGGCATTAAAAGTGTGCAGAAGGACCTCTGGAAAATATTAAGCGGCATTCATATTTTAAAAGAACACTTGGACCTAAGCACAAGGCCGCTATAATAACTGTCACCTCTCTGTATGTGCTCAGCTGGAAACTCTCTGGCAACTCAATGTAAAATTTCAGCACTACAGTCTACCTCTGAAAAGTATTACCCCCTTTTGAAACAGTTTTCTTGGTCATAAATAAAAAAAGATTTTTCAAAAACGTCTAAGTTTTAACGCTTTTAAACTGTTTTAGCTTTAACTGTTGAAAATTAGAGGTGAAAAAGAACGAAAATGAAGATTAAACATGCAGGGAGAAGGGACAACAGCAAATTGTCTTACAGTCACTTTCAAAGGAGAAGGAGCAAAAAATTGCTGCATTGTATGTTCAGTCTTTCAGGTCAGAGTTCAAACGCACTGGGAAAGCAGTGGGCGTTATTCTGAAACCTTTCAAGATCTTCCCCTCTCTTTTTTTTTTTTTTCTGGCATCTTCACATTGAGCTGTGCGGCTGCTGGAGCAATCCATTACTGTGTCAAAGTTCTTGTTCTGCGTTGGCCTGGAAGCATAGTGAAACAGCTTGTTTTCATTTCAGTAGGGGAAAGGCAGGACTCTGTTTCAAGTCCCCTGCCCCTCCAGATGTGCTGCGATCAAGGGAAGTTGACTATGCGCTTTGTGTTCTTTAGGACACTAATGTGATTATGTCACATATTTTCAGCTGATTCCCATTGCTATTAGTCGTGGTGTGGGGTCTATGCTTCAATGGACTCTATCAGGACGGGAGTTAGAGGGATTTTTCTTTCAGCAAAGTCTGATTCCTAGCCAACCAGAGAACACTAAGAAGTGTGTGTGTGTGTGTGTGTGTGTGTGTGTGTGTGTGTGTGTGTGTGTGTGTGTGTGTGTGTGTGTGTGTGTGTGTAGCTTTGATTGTGTGTGCATGTGTATGTAAATCTCTCTGTCTGTGCTGTTGAGTATGATATTTAAGCTCCTCTAATCCTGTCTAAATAATTCACTTGTGTTTTGGTGCTTTATGTTTCCCTTTGACAAAACTCACAAACTTAGTCTATATTACATTTTTATTGGCCTTACATTTTTATCTCCTCCAGATCCTGAAATGTGTCTTAGCTTATGATGTATTTGCTGCCGGTGAGAAAAGCTACCTCGTGAAGCTTTTTTTTTACGTGTACCTACATAACTTAAAAGCTACATTTTCTTAACTTAGTGCCATGCTATGAAAAAACAGACTGTTTCTTTAAATCACAAAGAAAGAAAGGTGAGTTAAGGCTCTCATAACTAATGCATTCACAACATCAAAAATAGAAAAATTCAAGTGTCAGCTTCTGTAAAGTAAGAGTATCTGTGACATTTTTTTCTGTGCTGTTTAATTTTAATTAGATTTGTTTAAGACAGTTGTACAGTTAAACAGTGTCAGCATATTAACAATGATAGGAGAGAGGCAACTGGGTGGTATTACAAGCTGAATGATAGGTAGTTCACAGAGTTTTACTCCTCTGGCATTTCATCGCCATGAAAGAAACCAGCCACAACCAACTAAAGCCAGTATGTTAGCCGCACCGCTCTTTCTGCTCTACTAAGTCTACAGAAATAGAAGAGTCGATGTGTGTGTGTGTGTTTTAATGGTCCCTACAACATGAAAAAATACAGTCTTGGAGCTGTCACAACAAAATAGTATTGACAATATAAGACACTGATATTGCGCTTAAAAAGACAATAAGGAACGATACAGTCACTATAGAGAAGTGATCCATAATGCAGGTTTCCACACATTATAAAACAGAAGAAGAAGCAGCAGACTGCTAGCAAGGTAGCTAAAGCAGCCCCCTGAGTGATGATTAGGAACTTTAAAAAACTGAAATTCAAAATTTATTGTAAACAAAAAAATCAACATTCGGGTTTGTACCTCTTTTTGTTTATTAATCTATCAAACATTTATACTTTCTAGACATTTTTGTGACTGTTTTTATTGGTTTATGTAACTTAGATCTATGACTTATCAGAAGTAGTTAACTTTAATGCAGAAAACGTGTTTATCATACTAATGAAGAATTTCTTTTCCTCTGTCTGACTTACTGTGTTTTTCTTTTTTTTTTAAGTATTTGTTGGGCAATTTTAGCCTTTTTAATGACAGGACAGGGTGAAATGTGGGGAGACAGAGAGACATGGGGGACGACATGCAACACAAGGTCAGGGCCGGATTCAAACCCACAACTGCTGCGGGGATTGTGGTCCCCATGTATGGGGACGTGCTAACCCGCTCGGCCATCTGCACACCTTCTGTGTGGTTTTCTTCTTTAAAGTTTCCCACAAATATCACGATAATGTCATAATGGCTAATTTTGTGGTGACAATAATTGTGAGGTAAAAATCTGATATCACGTCAGCCTTATGCTGCACACCATGACAGATGTCATCAGTGGTCCAATCAAACATTAAAGAAGAAAAGTAATCCTATTTGTTCCTAAAAAGCACAAATTATTACATATATAGGAGGACTATTGTGAAGGTGTTATTTAATGAGTCTTGGTCAGGAGATTGCTCTGTACACTGCAGCTCCTCAGAAAAAAAGGCGAACCTCTAATGCCAATCTGTGAACCATTTGAAAGACTGAAAAAAGCCAATTTTAGCAAGTTCCTGTGAGAAACAGCCGCTACAGTATGCTAAATAAAGAGCATTGGCCTTGCCCCATGCTTACTGCAAATTTTCCCTGAATGTGTCTGATAGCTGATGAGGAGCAGACATGTTGATTGGAGAAAGCATCGGACATCTCATTTAATGTAGCAGGCTGTCTTCAAACATGTCCGCTCACTGTATGGCAGCATGACTGCATATTATAAAGAATGGCAGCGTAGCTACACCACATACTCTCACCCGCCACTAGATTAGAGGCCAGCTGGGAAGACAGCTCCATCATCTGCGTATCCAAATGGTGGACCCCACTTTCCCTTAAGCTGCCAGTCTGGGTAAAAACAGGATTATGCCTCCTGCTTGCCGACTGGGCCTAGATTTGGTCCCTGATGGCTGCCAAACTATTTTGTGACAGGCCGTTGTCTTCAGCAACTCCACTCTCAGTACCCAAAATCGAGAATGGGATCAGTAACTGATGGTTTTAGTTGGGCTTATCATAGGGACTTGGATTAGATACAAAAAACTCCCAAACTTAGCGTAATATCAGCAACATAAGGGAATACACCCTCAAAGTTGCACAAGAAAAGGAAAGGAAAGGTGCATTTCAAGGTATCTACATTCAAGCAAGGTGATGGTCTTATGTCACCAAGGCTCCATGGATGGTATTATGCTCTGCACTGCCATCACAATCAAGAACCACAGTACAATTTTACCTGACAAATGCCCGACAGGTTACTTTATTTTCAAACTTAGAGGCTTGACTTTTGCTTCAGCCAAAGTGGTAGATGAAAGGTAAAGATGAAAATATGAATGAAACAAATTTCAACAATTTCCTGGTTGAAGCATCACGGCCCGGCCCTTGTTGCCAGCAGGGTTGAAGTGTGATGCATATAGAAAAAGATCAGTGGTCAAATAATAAGAGTAGACAAAGTTAACACATCTCAGTTACTAAGTATGGTTTCAGTGAAACCGATACATTTTCTTCCCCGACAGTCTTTATGTGCCGAACCAACACTCAATGGAGCTTGTTGTTTTATCACAAGAAAAAGAGAGGAGTTAGAGCCTTCATTGAAGCACTCTCTTTTAAAGTTTAATACAACACGCACGTCATTGAGCTTTTCAAAAGTGATGCAGGGATGTTACTTAAGAGATACAGCACAGCACAACAGAAGCTAAAAGCTCTACGTATTGTCATTAAGCGTACAAATGTCTCCTTTGTGCAGAGCTTGTCTTATTATCTCTAAGTTCAAGGGGCAAACAGCGAGGAGACAGTGTATATATATAAAGGTTATCAAAGAGGTTCTGTGCTTGATTTGCTCTGTCTCACCACAAGACAAGAACTTCATTTGACCCAAACAAGCTTACTTGCGTATCTTCATCGGCGGAGTATAAACATGGCTGAAAGGGCTGGTGAAAAACTCAAGGATTTTATCTGATGAGGGGTGACAGTTTACAGGAGATGAATTGTGTGGTGGAGATAATCATGCAGAGGGGCCGCCACATTTCAACAACAAATATCACCTTTAATAGTCTACTATCATCTGTATGCGTAGAGGGCAGGGTTAATAGCCCTTTATTCTACTTTATAAGTTGGTAAAGTTTTAAGTGGGGTACAACTGGGAAATACAGAATGAAATCCAGATTAACCCCAGGGCCAGAAATGAGTGTAAAAGTTTCTCTCCTTTTGATGTGATATACTTATCCTTGGATGGTTTTCATTTAGCTTTTACTTCTTTGTTAAACTAAGAAAGAATGAGTAAAGAACGTCACATGGTTAAGTTGTGAGGTGGGTCACAGTCTCATGAAATATATTGAACAGAAGAAACTTATGAGCGAGAAACAAATAAAAATGACCTGCGAGAAAACTGTCAAACTTCTTTGATCGCCGAATCAAAGAAACCTCTTGAAATAATGTGAAAAATGGCAATGTCAACAGATCTCACAGAAGTCTGCTCGTAGAAATGTCTATGAATACTTGTAATTAAATTTCATTTTTCAAGTTAAACAAATTTGTATTTGGGGGCACAGGTTTGGCTCAGCTGGAAGCGCTCATTTCACTTTAAACATAATTAAAAGTCATAATTTTAAGAGACTTTTAGAATTAAGATACACTTTTGATTATACCGTATTAATTAATACTCATAATCCTGCCAGTTTCTGATCTAAACAAGCACATCTACAAGATTGGAGGTGATTACAAGAACTAAAGGGAACCAAAAAGTCAGTTTTAATTCAATAAATATTCATTATAAATATTTTGTAGTCAGTGCACAAGAGGAAAACTTTATTTCTTTAAATCTGTCAGCTTTACATGAGAATTTTGTTATTTTTTTGTACACACGACACAGTAGACAGCGTCGGCTTTGTGTGTCACATGTCTTACTGTAATTACCCTACAGAGGTTAAGTGATGATTAAGCCAGATAACACATGTTGGAGCGCTATTCAAACCACCGCAGCGTAGAACGTGATAAGTATTTCAGCAAGAAAACAAGTTCACGTCAAGGGACATGCACTTAGGGTGGGATTTCTGACGTTTGCATTGCCACAAACTGGATAATCCTGCTGTCAACAGTTTGTTAAATGCAAGAGCCACTTTCTGGGTTCATCACTGTTTGGAGCAGATTAGTAGAGGGTAGTGGATCTCATATGGCCCGGTCAGAGGCCATCATTGAAAGGCTTAAAGGATTAATGTTGTCTCGCGCTCTCACTCTGTCTCTCCAATATTCAATCAAACTCTGGGCTGTCAGAGCACATCCAGCATGATTTGTACAAACACGTCCCATCAGCGAAGTTTAACAATACTCATCTATTTGCTGAACTCTGTACAAGAACATATTCTGTACTTCTGCCAGATGGTTTGTTTAAGGATTTTCCTGACTCCTGTTTAGCTCTCAGACATATCAGTATTACAGCAGAGAGTGTTGCAGCGCAGAGAAAAGCTATCTATTTCAACAGAGTCATGATGTAGTAGTGTCCATGGGCTCGAGGAGGAGGGGTCAAAGGTTAAATCCCTGCTTAAAGACACTGTAGTGAGCCTTTTCTATCAACAGACAGGCCATTTCAGTATGTGTTGGATAGGATGTAATTTCCCATCTGCTTTATGGCTATTTCTGATCCCTGGGCTCTTGTCAGCAAACTCCTCAGTGCAGATATCATCAGTAATATAAGGAGGACTCTGGCAATACTTAGGGCCTTAAAAGGCCCTTCACTTCCCTCCGTCATGTGGATGGCTTAAGGAGTTTGAGAGCGCAGGTCACAAGTAAACGTTTCACAAACACTATCAAATAGCACAGATTTAAGTAGCTTAGGACAGCTTCCTTGCCCAATGTTGCTGCAAGTGTGTGAGTACGTGTGTGTGTGTGTGTGTGTGTGTGTGCATTTGTGGATGTGTGACTTGGAAAAAGCTTTCTGTTGCTTGAATCAAACTTTTTTGCCCTGTTATTTCATTTTAAGTGTTTTTATTTAAATATGTTAACCACATCTCATCTTTATACCTTAAGGTTTTTGTCAAGTTGTTCTGAACGCACGGTTAAATCTCAACCGCTTATCCTCATATTTAAGTTTTTAATCAGGTACTTTATAACAATCCTCCTCAGGTGGAGATAAAACTAAAAACTACAGAAGTGCTCTCTTTGAAATGTAGTTTAAAAATGTCTCTGTTACTCATTTTATGAAGTGTTTTATGAGGAAACATAACTGTCTCTTCAGCAAAACAGGTGCTTGGAGTGAACCCAACTCACGAGAGAGATGACATACAGAGTTGAGATGTTTTACGCCAGTGCTCAGATGTGTATCTGTGTCCAGCGTGTAATAAGGTTAAGTGGGAAAAACACTTCACTTAAGGTAAATGAAAGACTGAGTAATGAGCCCCGGGAGTAATAGGGGTGTGAATCTCTCCCTTACAAGACGATTCGATTTGATTCAATCCTCAGTGATACAAGAACAGTTAATGAAAACAAAGAATAATAAATGAATCCCAATGTTAATTTTTATTCAATATAACTGAGTAAAACATTACAGACAAATTTGTCTTTGGCAAACAAATGTTGTTTTATTGCTTTTAATCTAAAGTAATGATGAAGGAACTCAGGTCAGGCAATCATCTTTTCTGAGTTACATTAATACAGCACTGCTTTGTGATAAATGCTTATGTTAGCATGCTAAGATGCTTAAAATGACAACACTTTTGTTCATCCAAATATTTTTGTAGTTTTACTAGTTATAGAGAGGGACATTTGATGCTGAGAAAAACAATGTAATTTTTTAATAATGTTGAAGGGAACATACTGTATTTTCTGGACTATAAGTAGCTCCAGAGTATAAGTCCCACCAGCCAAAAAATGCATAAAGTAGAAAAAGCTGTGTATAAGTTATACCACCCAAAAAATGCATTAAGTAGAAGAAAAAGCATATACCGGTATAAGTCACATTTTTGGGGGGAAATTTTTACAAAATCCAAGACCAAGCACAGATATTCCATCTAGAAAGGCAAGTTATAATAATAACAATAGAATGGAGAACAAAAGGCTGAATAAGTGTATGTGATGCTAATGTAACAACAAACTCAGTAGGTGTCTGGTATGTTAACGTAACATATTAACAGTTGTTCGGATAACTATAGTATAAAAAACATAACAAGTTTACCAAACTCTCGATCTCAGTCCAAATCACTAAATCCATCGAATTCTTCATCCTCGTTGTCACTTCTGAACAACTCCACCAACTCCGGAGGTGGACGAAGTGCTGCTTCCTCTTCTGTGTGACTGTCGTTAGACTATATGTGAAATTATATATTTTAAGTTATATAAGTCGCAAACCCAGCCAAACTATGAAAAAAAGTGCGATTTATAGTCCAGAAAATATGGTATGTAATCTATAGGTAGGCAGGGTTATTAGGGTTCATGGTCAGGTAGCCATTCATTTCTGTTGATATTTTGTGGCCTGCCATAAAAGCCAGAAGGACCACAAAGGTGGACAATCCCTGTGGTTAAACTCACACTCACAAACCTAGGGTGGGTGGGTGGTGGGTGTCTGACCATTTGCGCAGATTTACTGTTAGGTTAGCACAATATCCTGTATTGGAGTCAGGGTTGAATTAGTGGTGCAAATTCCCCCAGATTGGTACAAAATGCTTTGCTGACTCAGCATAAACTGCACGGGCTGTGTAGCGAGGTAATGAGGATGCCATAACGGGGGACTTTTTTTTTTTTCAGATCACAGAGTCAAAAGGCAGCTACAGCCTGGTCATAAATGACTGTGAGCAAAAATGCTCATTAGAAGAACATTTAAGGGAAACACTAGTTCACCGTTCAACCATGGCGCTGTTGTAAAATGAATTTCTTTTTTTTTTTTTCTTTTTTTCTGCTTCATTATAGGCAAACAGAATCTTGGCATGTGAAATGAGTTATGAACACGCTCTTGAGAGGAATACAAAACAGCATGAGCCTTCGTCTGGCCAGGAGTGCTGTAGTTATAATATAAAACATTAACTTGGCTCCGTGGCATCATCCCGACACATGTTAGCTTAGCAGCCAAATGCCAAATCTCGGTGAAAATAATTGTATGACAAGTTGATTACATATGCTTAAGTCCTGTGTAATTGTGAGGTGTTTTCTGAGAATAAAGAGGTGATTTCATTATTTCCAGACCTTTTATGAAGGATGACATCTGTCTTTTAAGTGAGCTGCTTTTTTGATTGCACAGGCTAACACAGAAAGTGGTTTCCAAAGAAATCAGTTTAATTGTGCTTATATGTGCCTTTGCATACCAACTCCACACAAAAAAACATTGAAATCCTTCTGTTCCTCACTTACAAGTCTTGGACTATCATCTGATCCTCCACTCCCACCACAGTACCACAGAGATATCTGCCTTTATGACCCAACCGCCAACCACTCTGCTTTAAAAATCCAGCTGTTTCCTTTCTCCTATTTAACTCCCTCTTTTCTTCATTCATGAATCCTCCTCGCTCGGAGGGAACTGTTGGTGGGTGGATGGCATTTAAGACAATGAATTGTTTTCTCTGAGTCACTCAATGCACAGGGCCCATATCCAGCTGTGTTTCTTCAAGCATGATACACTTCACTTGTTAAACAAGGTCATTAGTTAGTCAACACTTCTTGGGCTGCCTGGCAAAGAATTAGTGATGACAGTCTCTCCCTCATGCTCCCTCCCACACAGCCAGAGCCTCCCACTACAAGTTTTCTCTGCTCCCCGCCTGCTCTGCTCATGGGAAAGTCCCAACGCTGCTTCAAGTATGACCCCGGTGAGTGTTATCAAGGAATGGCAACATATTCTTTTAATGTTCTATAATCACGTAATTCAGAAAGGAGGGCTAGTACTGCTCTTCAGACTAGAATCAGTACATATGCTTGCATTAACGTCTTTTAAAGTATGAAACCTCTCTATTATTTTTGTCGAACATTTTAATACTCTTCTTGGAACAAATAAAACTACGCTACTGCAATTTCCGCCCACTGTTGATCCTTCCATAACATCTGATCATCTAAAAAAGTACAAAAGGTCTGACTTATTTCTCCTTTCTGTGGACATGAAAATCACATGTAGCGTCCTTCCCTTTGACACTGAGACAACCCAGGACCTCCATAGATCAAACATGGCCTGCTTAAAATAAGCCATGTGTGGGTGACCCCTTTCACCATTTATTTTAGCATTCAGCAGAGCAGGAGGGTGGGGGGTGCTTGTTATCATTATTACCTCCAATTTTCTGGAGTTCATTATTTCATTTAATCACAATGTGCGATGAAAGCTGAGACCCACCAGGAGTCGTTGTCACTTGCTAACAGTCGTTTGACTTCATTAGGGTTGCTCAGAGGTTGTTGTTTGAAGTAAAGTGATACATTTTACTGAGGTGGGAGGAAAAATATCTTCTTTCTCCCACACATGAACACACATCGCGTGTGCATACACCATCCTTACTGTATACATTTTATTTAAAGTCACTGGAGCTCAGTACGCACTAGTGTTTCTCCTTGGAGTTTCATTTCAGGAATGCAAATGCCTTGGGCCCAGACACCCTGTGATTTATCTCCTTATTTATCTTTGCACACATCTGCCTGTGCCCTTGTGTCTGCCTGTTGCTCATTCCTCCCTTCTTTCAGCTAGCATGTCTCCCATGGGACCTGGGACTCCCCCGCTTGCCCCTTTCTGCCCCTTACTCGCACATACATACACACATGCATATGTAGACAGAGGGCGAGCGTACTCGGTTGTTTTCACAATGGCAGATCTTTATGCTGCTGTAAGCTTTGCCGGGGCTCAATAATCCAGTCTGTTCACGGCCATGCTCAGAGGTGTGTGCACTTGCAGCATCAACAATCTGCACGCTGTCTCTGCTGGACTCGGAGTACTGTTGTGGTGTATTACTGGAAGCCAGAGAAAGTGACCTGATACCCACACTTGCTTTCTGTCAACAAAGATTACACTCAGACGAGCGCAATGGGAGTTCCGGGCAGACCGACCTGCTGCTTTCTGTCTCATGCGGACAAATAGAGTATGTGCAGGACGGGTTGGAGCTTTGTTTTTCTTGTCAGAAACAGGTATGAATAACAGCAGGGCCTGCCACAACACCCCCCAAGTGAAGTTTCATATCTTCACAGCATTGCCATAAAGTAAACACCAGTAGTGCTATTGCACTGTGAATGAGCAGCCAGACATGTCAAGAAACAGACATCCCATGTCCTCTTGTGCGATGCCCTACACCTTTCTTCTCAAGTGCCCCACATTCTGCCTTGATTTCACATTTCCTCGTGCAGACTTGTCTCGGCCCTGCAGAGAAACGGCCGCCTGGTGTGAGGTCAGGTGTTATTTATCACAGCCGTCTGCACCAGGAGTTGACATTCGTACAGGCGTTCTGCTCGGTCGTTGTAATTGACTCTCCTTGTCTTTTCGAGGACACCAACAGCTATAACTATGTCAGGACACCTCTCAGCTATATATTACCCATCTCAGTGAGGAAGACAACTGGTGAGTTATCATTCTGCATCAGCTAAACGCAAGATGGGCAACATGGCCAGTCACTGGGAAATGGCAGGCTTTCACAAAGACAATACAAATCTCAGCCAGATTCATTTCTGCCCGTGAATCAATCTTTCTTTCTTTCTTTCTTTCTTTCTTTCTTTCTTTCTTTCTTTTTCTTTCTATCTTTTTCTTTCTTTCTTTTCATGTCATGTCATGTCATGTCATGTCATTGCCCTAATTTGTTCAGCATAATAAGTGATAACATAACTGTAATCCCAGCGTTTGGACTTGAACTTAAACTGAGCTGTTTTCTGAGGAAATTGGAAACTCTTTGAATAGATCAAATCTGTAATTTCGCTGTTATCAAACTAACCCAGTTGAGTTATTATTTTCAAGGTGCTGACAAAAGAGAAAAAGCACTTACATCCGTGGGGCAAAGGCGGCATTCACATTACCAGAGGTCATCAGGAGGTAAACACTTATTAATGGTTACCTGCATGACAATCAGATAAACAGGTCATGGTAATGATTAAGCCAAGATTGGCCAGGTTATAGGCCATGTGTGCACGAAAGCATGTTGGCTGGAAGCAGGTTGGAGCTGGTGCTAAAGGAGTGAGTGTAATTGTTCTAGGACAGCGATCTTTGACCTGTGATGTGTGAAAGTAGACAAAATACTCTTTATGGTTCACTATAACAGCAGAGAAGTGCAGCTACACCTCAGAGATGCAAATGTATTCTTTAAATGTGAAAGCCATCCAGGGTGTAGTGAGGGTATTGTATGGAAAGAAAAAAAAAAGCTGCTGAGTGAGTAGAACAAAAAGAGAAAAGAAGAACAAACATTCAACCCAACTTAAGTTCACAAGGTCATTTCCAGCTCAGGGATTAAGTAAACTAAACAAAACTACACAAGCTGCAACTTATCAGACTGCTGCATGCCAGGACGTTTTTATCTCCCCCTCATGTTTGTGAGTGTGACAGAGAGAGGGAGTAGTCCTCCTCAGCAGCCTCAAACATTAGACACACTTTAAGCATGCTCACACTGCAAGTCTTTATTGGTAAAAGCAAACTTTATTAGAAATGTAGATTGTCCCGCTTGTGGAAAGAAGACACCGGAAGGCTCCAGTATGATATTAGCAGAGCAGTGACTCAGTCATATATTGTTCAGATGGCTTGTTTTCAGAACACTCATGTCTTTTTTTATTTACTTAGTCATTGATTTATCACTCTTTCGCTGAGAGGGATGTATTGAAGGCTGGTTAGCTGGTTATTCAGTGTCAGAATGAGTAACAGTGAACATGGGCTCTGATCACATGTGGGGAGGAGAAAACATTTCCTCAGCAGAACACGATCCGAGCTTTTGTGGATTTGATCGCTGAGTTTATTTTGATGAAATGCGGAGGATTGTCTTTATTGCTTTCTCACATTCTCCTGGAAACGAAGCAGGAAACTTGTGAAGACCTCTTTCTCTGCAAATTGCCTCTACATTTGATCACTCCAAACCACAAGAGTGCTCCCAACCCGGACCCTGAATATTTGGCAGCTTCTTAAAATACAAAAAGGCAGTGTGGTTGTTTGACCTTTAGACCTCTTGACATGTTTATTTATGAAATTCTTTCACTACTTTGAAATTTCTCCGTAGGCATCTTTCACTTAGTTTTCAAACTTTATTTCAGTTCTTGTTGCATAAAATCTTCAGAGGAGTTCTAATTATTTTCATGTGTGAGTCATTGAGAGAACATGGCTAAAAGTTTACAAACCATGGTTTAATAATAATCAAAGAAAGGCAGCTTTAAAGACTGTCATTTCTATTTGGTTTTACCACTTATATCCATCCTACACCTCCCTAAAAGTTCACCTTCGATCTCCATGATAAGCACACCTTCAACACAACAATCATTTTTCTTTCTTTCTTTCTTTTTTGCATTATTCATAATTTTGTTCATAAGGAGCTCTCTGTGAGCCTTACTCATAGAGGGTATGCATATGATATCACAGTAGGTAAAATCACTGTCTGCCACATCCAGAGAGTGGCAGACAGCATGTGGCACATAGCGCTGAGAGTCACTGAGTATTAGTGTTGGCATTCAGCTTGAACGCTGCAAAAGCACTCTCTCAAAAACAGACTTCTATTAGGAACTGAAGAGCTAGACTGTCAGGAAAATGGGGTTGTGAGTTCGAAGTAGGGCTGGGTGATATGGGGAAAAGTTTATCATGATGTATTTTTTACTTACCAATCAATATCGATATACATCACAATATAAAAAATGAAATTTTACAGTGCTTATTGGTAGCATGTCTTTTGCAATACAATAAGCTGCTGCATCTCTGAGGTCTTTGTGTCGCTTCAACGTTTTGTCGTAAGACGTTGCACTACAGAAAGCGGACTGAATGGTTGGCTGTTTCTAGTGCACAGGCGCCATGGGCTCCATGCTCCACTCTGGGTTTGTAACCTTTTGTGTTGCGCATGTCCTGCTGCGTGACACTGCTTCAGGTTGTGAAAAAGATTTAAGATATTCCCCGACTTTGCGAGAACATGTACTCGACGTAATTTGCAGTGTACATTACTCTGCTTCATGCCCAACCTCAAAAAAACAAACTACCGCCACACCACCGACGTTTTCATGCCAGTGTTGTCGACAATGTCATCATCTGTTGAGCCTTCATCGGGGTAGCACTCATTTTCTTTTTTTCTCACTGACAGTGCTGTCGGCTTCACGTGTTAAAGTGCTATGGTTGCGTGTAGCTGCAGCCTGCTACTACACAGCTGTTTGATACTTGGTTCTAATTCAGCACATGATTGGTTCAGTGCGAAGCGGACCCAGAGGAACTCCCATTTTGTATAGTCTACCAAAACATGGGAGAATGCCGCTTATCGAACAGCATATTGACCATGTTTTATATTGATATTGAGGGAAATAAATTTTCCATATCTATCATTATTGTTTTATCGCCAAGCCGTAGTTCGAAGATGAGGGTTTTTGGAGTCATAAAGCTGTCTCTCTCTCTCTCACTGTAGTTTGATCACAGAGGTGACAGCAGTTCATCAGATGGATAAATCAGTGCATCAGTAAGGGGCCACGATGGCTCAGGGGTAGAAGGGTTGAGAGTTTAATCCCAGGTTCCACTGTCCACAAATGTCCCCAGGCAAGACACCTAACCTTAACTGAGTTGGCTGATCTTAACTGCCGCTGGCTGTGCAGTGGTGTGTGAATGGGTTGGTTTAAAACTGATGAGTGTGAATGGGTAAATATGACTGTGTACTACACAAGTGTACCACAGATATGTCGAAATCCCTACCTATTAAA